ATGATCGAGAACTGTCACTACGAATTTTTTTTTAATCCCTTAAGTTTTACAGTTATTCCGCTAAAACGAATTTGGTACTTTTAATGCGCAAAATTCAACATCTCTTGTCGCATGTCACGCGAACTTCAGGCATATACACACATCAAAAAAAGTTTGCGATCACTTCGAAAAACTGAAATAATTTTTGTTACTGTAGATTATATTATGATTTAAAAATTAAAAATAAATTAGAACAAAATTAAAATATTTAAAAATAAATTAGAACATAAAACAATGACCCCGTTCAATTGTTTTTTCATATAAAAAGGCTTTCAGTCCTAGCTTACGCCCATTCAGAAATCTGATTTAGTCAATTATAAGCGATTCAAGATATTTTTCGCGGAAAGTTGTGATTGAAAAAATGCCAAGAGGATTATCAGAGGTTTTACGAGCTAGAATAGTAACTTTGAGGGAAGAAGGATACACCACAAGAGTAATAGCACGCAGACTTGCTATATCCCAATCCTGTGTCGTGGCTACGTTGCAGAGGTATCACGGAATGGGGAATTTAGCTGACCGACCCCGCAGCGGTCGCCCAACTGTTTTGACAGCTGCCCAAAAGCGCTATATTAGATTGCTGGCAGCCCGTGATCCAACAATCAACGCCACTAAAATAAAAGCAGAAGTCAGGGCCGCCTCTGGGCTTGAAGTTAGCACGCAGACCGTTCGCAATTGCTTGCACCAGGCTGGATTACGAGCACGGAGGTCTTGGCGAGCTCCGCTCAATTCCCGGCAACGTCAACAACGAAGATTGCAGTGGGCTAGACTTCGGCAAAATGAAGAAGGTGAGGACGAAAACATTTGGCAAAACTGTCTCTTCGTTGACGAATCCCGAATCAGCACTCATCCAGATAACCGAGTGTCCGTGTCTGGAGAAGACCAGGCGACCGTGAAAGACAAAGAACTGCCACTGGAATAGTTCAGCAAGGCGGAAAATCGGTGTCCTTTTGGGGTGGCATTATGATTGGAGCTAGAACGCCTTTGATTCCGTATCGGGGCTTCATGACAGCAGACATGTACAAAGCAGTTGCTATTGATGATATCGTCAGACCATTCCGAGTAAACCATGGGCACCAATTTGTACTGGTCGATGATAATGCGCCCGCACATCGAGCTCAACGAGTCAATGCTGCTCTTCAAGAATACGATATCACACGATTAGACTGGCCTGCCGGCTCGCCCGACTTAAACCCAATAGAGCACGCGTGGGATGCTCTTAAACGAGCAGTATGGAACCGTGAGCCACGTCCCCAGACAGTTCCAGAGCTCAGGGAAGCCGCTATTGAAGAATGGGATAGGTTACCCCAGGAAATGCTGGATAACTTGATCCTCAGCATGCCCAGGAGGATCTTCGCATGTATTCGAGCCAGGGGAGGGGTTATTTTATATTGAATTCACACCTTTTAATAATAAATTGTTGTTTAAGTTTAATTAAACAGTCTTTTTCTTTCTATGAAATTTCTATCACTATTACATTATGATTAATGGCTCAATTTTTTAAAATAAATAATAAAAAATAGTTTTATATTTTAATTTCAAACAGGGTATTCCTATTTAAAGAAAGCATACAACATAGATTTTTTCTTGATAAAGTTAAATTTAAAGAATTATAGGAGCTTATGCTATTGATCGCAAACTTTTTTTGATGTGTATTTGTTTCACAAATTTGGGCGGAGCCAACGTCAAAACTTTTTTGGCATGCTCCCTCTTAATTAATGATTATTTGTAAAGTATGTACATACGTACGCACACTCTCATATTTAATAAAAATTACAATCAATAAAATTAAACTGATAAATTGCATTTTCTTTCATTTATTCATTAGTGACCATATCGTGACGCGATGATATTAGAACAGTATCGGTTTCAAACACAAATCACAAGCCGTTATTAAAAATTTTGCATGTTTTTCCAGGGTAAATGCTTTATGCATCAAGAGGGACTAACAGTTGGACGGCATACCCACTAAAATCCCCCTACTTACCTACCTTCTTGGCCAGGTGTTGTGGGCGCCGTGTGATGCCGAAGATTCAACGGATGAGAACATGCAATGCGGGAGGGATCCAAAAATTTTACTTGGTACAATAAAGTCACATGTGATCATACGTCTAATCACCCAACAAAATACGTTAAATGTGCTTTAAAATAACCAATAAAACCAAAGCGCGTGCGATTTTTATGATACCAAGTGAAGGTAAGCGACACGCCTGTCCACAGCAGTTGCAGTTAGCAAAGAAAGATTTTAGTAGCAATAGAGCTCCTTCTGAAAGAGTTCGTCCAGGGAAGCACTGCTATATTACCTATTTCTGCCAAGCAGTAGTGTAAGTATTACTGCGTTTCGGTTTCGAAGACTAAGCGAGCTGCTCAACGTATGTCTTAGGGTGTCGGGCGCAGAGCCAGTGTCCCTCATAACTTTGTGACTTAAAGCTTCGAGTGGTACTGCAACTGTTATGGACAGGCGCGTCGCTTACCATCAGGCGCACGACTTGTTCGTCCCGTCATTTAGTTTATATAAAAATAAACTAAAATTGATCTGCCTCTGTGGCCGAACGGTTACCATACCGGACTGCCACGCAGAGGTCCCAGGTTCGATTCCAGGGCCGGGAGAAATGTTTGTATGGCTTACATTTATTTCTCTCGTGAGTTTGGGTGTAATTTGTGGTTGTCTATGTGTGTGTCCATGGCACCCGCGAAACAGGGTTTCCCTAGTGCGGGGCTAAAAAAAAACCGCCCGTCACCCTGAGACTAAGGGTCGTATTCTAGAACTCTACTCAATGCTTAAGTCAGGACTTGAGTATGGTTTAAAGCACTCGAAATCATACTCAAGTCCCTGCCACTAGAGTCGTATTTCCAGTGCTTATGTTTCCAGTGCAATCCTGACTTGACTACTAAGACTAAGTTGAGAGACTAAGTTGTCATGTCCTGTAATGTCACCAGCACCCTTCAAAACCGGAAGGCAGTATCACTGCTTGGCGGCAGAAATAGGTAAGGTTTATCACAAGACAGTTATTAAAATTATACGAACTACAATAAACAAATTCATTTAAAGCATAAAGAAGTTGTCGATCAGTTTCATTCGTAGTCTCTCTGCTGAAAAATTGTAATTTTGCAGATATGGCCTTATTACAACAAAGGGTGCGAAGATGGATCTAGGTGCAGATCTTAAATAATTTAATAAAACAATTGTACAACTTGCATTATTTATTATTAATTACCAAGATTAGTCCGTAATATTAACACAAATAATAAGTTAGAT